GAAAACCAAGTGGGGCTAAAGCTGCAAGCCACACGCCATGGGACGCCACTGGTAACACCTCCCCTAAGTTGGGCTATCAATGTTTGCATTTTTTTGTTTACGCGCCTAATCACATTTTTTCCCAATGTTATTCTGCAGTATGCCGATCCTTTAACACTTTCGGGGTATCCAAGAGCTTTTGTGTAAGTGGACATGGCAGAACCTTCAGTGAAGTCCTATTACTAGAAGATATATTGGCCTACTCACCAAATGTCAGTTGGCCAATTTACACTAAACCACCCCTATTAATCAAGCCAGGTCAAATTACCCAAAGCAGGCTATTATGCCATATGTGCATGCCAGAGCCACGCATTTACCAATATGTTATTTTGGCTGTTAGGAAAATTTCAAAGATTTTGACAAGTACTGAAGTGTGTCTGTATCCTATGATTTCCTGTCTGGATTAAAGATTATTTCTGATTTGTTCTCTCACCCCGACCAACCACCCAAATATATATGATGGATTATTACTTACTAAAAACCACGCATTCCCTCCAGAGTGATACTTCTGCCTCCAATTGTGACACACAGGTCGTCTTTGTCCGATTCTTGGATCGACAAGATACAGCCTTGTTTAACTCTCTTTTTAATGTCAAAATATTTATTTACCATGTTCTCATGGAGAAATTGGGAAAGTAAAAAAAAAACTGGAGGAGAGGGCAATATTTGAGAGAGCTTGATCAGGATTAGTGTGGGGTGAAGGTCAGCTTTTGTTTTTGTTCTTGTTTTTATTCTTCCTTTTTTCGATGTACCGTATATTTGTTTTTGGCCCCAAGATCATTTTGGAAGAGGGCTTCGATCCTATCTGTCAGGGCTAACCCGGGCTGAAATGGGTACAACTACCCTGCAGGAAGACAGAGCTACTAGAGCTCCCGACTTCCTGTCTTTCTAGTCCTTGATTTGGTAGGTCCCAGAATGTTCTATACGTTTAGTGTAAGTTCTTCTGTGTAAATATTTACCCCCCCCCCTCTCATAGATATACTTTAAATGATTGAAGAGGTGGGCTGTTTTGACCCTGCCTGTCAGGGCAGGAGCGACCAAAAATGTTCTTCGTTAAAATTTTAACCTTTCACCCCCTTTCCTGCTCTCTAGTAAATTTCTGTCGTCTGCTTTCGTCTCCCCTTTCTGCCCCCCCCCACCCCCTCACCTCCTTTGCCCCCTACTCTGGGCTCCTGACTCTTTCTGCAGCCTTTCTACTTCTACTCATTGGGGTCTTCTTACTGCTGTCTTTCAGCCACACCCCTGATCTTCTGAAGGAAAGATCTACATCTAGCCTTCTCGGACAAGGGCGAAAAATCCTGGAGAGCCTGTGTGCAAGTTGCGCACGTTAAAGATCCCTTGATAGTCTAAAATCGATAAGAGTAGGCTTCCGCCGCCACCCGGGCAAAATTCAAAATTTCCTACCTACTGAAAAAGTTTAATGTGTCCCGCGCGCTCATATGACCTTATGCAGTTGCGAGCGCCGTAAAACATCTACCAAAATAAAACAACAACAAACAAACAACTGTTTCGAAACTGCATGTCGGTGCCAACCCAAGATGAAAGATGTACAATGTGCAAGCAGGCAGACAGAGATACACGATGAAAATCCTCCCCACACGGGAATTGAACCTGTGAGTTCTGTGCGCCACTGTATAGCGCCTAACCTGTCCCCGTGGTTTTATGCACCTCGTATAATTTAGCAAAATGTGATCATTTTTAGCATAATTTCTTGGGTTTTTTTCCCATTATCACTCTTGGTTAAAATTAACAGAATCGCGTAATTTCACATTTTTGGGCTCAGTTTGCATAATTTCAGTTTTTCTTGCATAAAACGATGGGTACAGCCTAACGGCTACAACACAAACAGCGGTCAGAGCGGGTGTGACAAAACGCTGGTCAGACAGTATACCCTGTCTTGAGACATGTTCTGGCTGCACACGAGTTTTACCCGTATTTATCTGTTTTATTAATCTCTCTCTCTCTCTCTCTCTCTCTCTCTCTCTCTCTCTCTCTCTCTCTCTCTCTCTCCTTTTCCCCTCCGTCTCCGCCTCTGCCTGTCTGTCTCTGATTCGCCGTCTCTCTCTCCCCCACCTCTCGCTCTGATTCTCTCTCTCCGATTATTCGTCCCTGTCTCTCATTCAACGTCTCTGTCTGTCTGTCTGTCTGTCTGTCTGTCTGTCTATCTGTCTGTCTGTCTGTCTGTCTGTCTCTTTCTCTCTCTCTCTCTCTCTCTCTCTCTCTCTCTCTCTCTCTCTCTCTCTCTGTCTCTCTCTCTCTTGTCCCTCCGTCTCCGCCTCTGCCTGTCTGTCCTTGATTCGCCGTCTCTCTCTCCCCCATCTCTCGCTCTATGATTCTTTGGTCTCTCATTCACCGTCTCTGTCTCTGCCTCTCTATCTCTCTGTCTCTCTTTCTGTCTGTCTGTCTGTCTGTCTGTCTGTCTGTCTGTCTCTCTTTCTCTCTCTCCCCCCCCCCTCTCTCTCTCTGATTTTCGTCCCTGTGTCTTTTTCCTGTCTCTGCCTCTGATCCCCTGTCTCAGTTGTATTTTTTTCCATCCTCGCTCTCAACAGTCTCTTTTCCTTTTTTCCCCTTCCATTTACTCTCTTTCTCCCCCCTCCATCTCTCCCGTCTCCTTCCCCCCTCTCTCCCCCTCCCTCCTTCACCCCTCTACTCCCTCCCCCTCTCTCCCCCTCCTCTCTCTCTTATACTCCCACTCACTTTTTTAAGGAACCGTTTCATCCTCGTACCATTTCCTTCCCGTCTTTTTCTCCTAAATTTCCCTACTTTGCAGGCAATGCTTTTATCTATTTCGTGCATGTGGTGTACCCGCGGTGAATGTCAATGGACGACGGGGGGAGGGGGGTTGCGGGGTGAAGAATGTAGGGGAGATAAAACGTAAACAGAGGAGAAAGGAGAGGAGGGAAATGGGCGGGGCCAATGTAATTCCGTTTTGGTAATTTGAAGCGGTCAGTTTATTGTTGAGCATCGCCAACTTTCTGCGTCGTGACATTTCATGAAAGAGGACTACCTAGAGTTAGAATTTTGTAAAGTTTGATAGGGCCAGTAGTTTTATATAGGAGGGTTGTCTAGCCATTAAAAAAGGAAGGCTAAAGAAAATAGAGTCAGCAGAAATGTGATTTTTATAGAAGACTGCTTCGCGTCAAATGGAAAGATAAAAGAACAAACGTTCGTTTGATTGATTGGCTGAGCCAATATCTTACGACACTATCGACACAATTTTGGTCACGTGAATGTGAAAAACTAATTGTTTTATTACCAGCCTAAGTATTGTGTCAAATATGGTGCGATTTTAACTCATTGACAATTTTCCACCAACGTGTACTTAATATGGAATTTTATATTTTTACAGTTACCACTTTCTGTCTAAAAATTTATGATCGTCTTCCTTTCAACGATATTGAAAAGAGTTTTAATATCTGTACGCAGCAATTAATATTGTAGAAGTGCATAATTGCAAGGGGGTGATCAAAGAGTAGAAGCAGTAGTGATACATCTCATAAATGTTAAATGCTATGGACCTGAAATTTTCGCACTCCCTCGAAATAATATTCTCCTTGGCTTTGTGTGCAAGGTTCCAGCCTCTATGGCGAAATCTGGAAAGTATAGAGTTAGTCAGCTTTCGGTATAATTTGCTGCTGGAAATTTGACAGCTCACGCTAGGTCCTGCATTCATGTTTTCGCCCAAAAACCTTAACTTTCAGAATAGGAAATAACCAAAAGTCAGTCACAGGGAGCTAAATCAGGACTGTAGGCTGGGGAAAACCCCCCAAAACCCTGGATCCCTTATTATTGGGTGCACAGAGTTGTGCCCCCTGCTTTGTAAGGCGCTGCATTTGTCGTTGGGGTATATTTGTGCAAAAAGTTACCGTCTTTGACCTCTGCTCATCAACGGCATTTTTCAACTGAGGCAGTACCTTCCGCTCATAGTAAGAAGTCATAGTACTATGATGTGGCAAGACATCAACCACAAGGGGGCCCACTATAATTGAACAAAACTGTAAAAATCATCCCTCGGCTTTGAAATCCTGGACACAAAGCTAAACGCTGGTCTCCTTTATCGTCTAGCCGTTTTACTGGAATTCCAAAATAGCGAATCCATGTTACGTCTCCCGTGAAAATGTTCCCCAGTCGCTTGGGCCCAAGACGGTTCAGCCATGTAGAGCAAACTTTACAGCACACCCTGCCCTTGTAGAAAGGGGTGTTTTCTTTTCTGCACTCCACGGTGTTTCCTTCAGAGCCCAAACCACCATTTGATTGTGACGTCATAAAAACCAAGCATGGCGTCAATGAAACTCCAGTTGTTGGTTTGAGGGAAGACATGTTGTTATAGAATGATTATATGTTATAATATAGATTTTATGATTAAGGTCAATATCTTAGCCCGCTGGATGGCAACTTCCATTACTTTCTGATACATTCCCATAAATTCAACGCACTCTACTAGAATGTGCCGAACGGTCAAATATGTATTGCAAACGACGTGAAAAGGAACTTCTTCTCCTCCAGGAAGATGTTTGTGCGTGACATGCTTGTGTCCAATTTCTAATCGTCTGAGTCCTAATTGTTCTGTTCGTAGAAGGGAGGCTGTTTCCCTGGACAAAAGCTTTGGCTGGATATTGTAGAAAACGCTTGGTTCTTGGCATGCAAATAATGGCACGTCTGACCTGAATGGAGTCTTACAACACAGAACATAAAGCATAGGCTGGCACTTTGAGCTGAGACCTGATTACAGCCTTTTATAGCTGAGGAAACACCAAAACAGACGGAAACTAAATAGGAAGAATAAAGAGATAGGACGTACAAGCTGCAAACCTAAACCACCAGCTGAGATCCATTCTGCCACACACCACAGAGAGGCAAAACTGCTAAATTTTGTTGATAGCCTGTATAAACGGTTTAGAAAGCATTAAGCTGAAAGGTAAGACAATGAAAAGCTGACAAAATGCAAATCGACATAATAA